TTTCCTTGCCTCGGACACTTTATCTCTTCCTGGCCTGGTTTAAACACATATATAATATCCGATAACGTTGACACTACTGAATCCCACCAACTTGTTCTACACCTGACCGCTACTTTGCTGTCGAAGACATGCCCTTCGAACGTGCTTGCTTGAACTCACATTCGTTTGACATTGAACGTTGTGTCAGCACTCGTTTACTAATCCAAGTGAATCGACCAACTACCAGGCAGGCTGCAAGGGCATGCGGTCTGACAGCGGTAAGTACATGACGTACCACAACAACGCAATGCCATCGCCCAGGTGACACCAGAAGAAACAGAAACATACACTGTAGGAGATGCCAGGTACGAACGCGTACAAGGCTTCTACCTCCCCCTTGGCCCATGCACGAGTGCGAGCTGACAGCAACAGCACAGACCGGCGCCGCCTGGCGCCCTCAAGGGAGGTAGGTGCAGACCGATTAGAGGCTGAAAAGCACATCAAACTGAAGCCTTTACCCAGCTTCTCTGCAATGCTCAACGACATATGGTGCCACCTGGCCAGCTCAGTGGCGGGGCACACGCCTCCGAATGCTCCCTGGGCGGCCGGCCCCTCCGACGAGGACGGCGAGGTGTCGCCGTCGCCGCAGCCCACGCTGTGACCCACCTGGGCGCTGGTGCCAAGCGAGCGGGCTCCACGCTCTCCCGAGGCACTTTTTCTGGTCCCAGCGGCGGGGATCCACACCGCGCTCGAAGGCAGCCGAGGGACGCCACGGGGCGGAACTGGGCACGGCTAGCGAGGCAGGAGAGAGGGCGCGCGGAGGGGGAACGGAGCACGCTCTGGGCATGAAATTCTAGATCGCGTCTCTCCAGGCACACGACTCGGCTGCACGCAAGAGCGACCCTGGGCAAGAGTGGCCTCTAGTGCGCGGTTTCCGCGGGCCGCGAAGGGCGCCAAATCCAAGCGTGCTGGCTGGTGCTGGGGGGCCCCTGGCAGCCCGCACCAAAGGTCACTCTGGCGAAGGGTCGCTCTTACGTGCAATCGAACTGCGCAGGTACGCGTACACCTTCCACTCCGCAGCCAGGCTGCCAGGCGCGCAGCGCCACCGGCGATCCACCAAGGGCCGCGGCGGGCGGTGGAGCAGTGGCGACAGGACAAGACAAGGGGGCAGCGGCTGCAAGCAGATTTAATGCATGCACGCGCCCGACGACACACATCGAGTGCCTTGGGAGCGGAAACCAATGAGGATGGGGGGCATCAACAACGGTTTTGAGGACGGCGACGACAGGGGACTCCTCGTCGGTAGACGAGGGCCTGAATTTAACTGAGCAAGCGAGCCCGTGCTGTACATTCCGTCGCGATTTCCTCGGACAGCGACTGGAGCAGAAACTTTCATTTGTGGGGCGAACTCCGAAAGAACAAGAATTGTCCACGAGCTGTGGCTCCTCAGAATAACACTTCCTCAAAAGCTGCAATATCAACAACCAAACGAATGATCGAACACCGAACATTAACAACATTAATCGCCCAGCGGTGCCTTCGGGACGTGCAGAGCATGGCAGAAAGTCGACACAACGTCGCTGTACAATAACATGCTCGAGCGAGGCACATCAATGCGGAGCCCATGACGCCCACAAGGATTCGGCGTCGCCGTTGGCCTCCTCCCTCATCGCCCCATCCTCCTCTTACTCGTCCTCCTACTCGTCCTCTGGCTGCTGCTCTTCCTCCTCGTCATCACCCGCTCCTCCGCAGCCTCGTCCCTCGTCCCCTCCCTCCCTACCCCTGTAAACCCAAGTGTGCATTGCCTGCTGCACCGCAACCGTTTGTGCGCGAAAGGGGTCCCTTGAGCAGCCTGTGGGCGGTACCAGCATGTCCATTGCGAGCTCCAGAGGGCTTGCACGCACCAGATACCCACACACATATATATATATATATATATATATATACACACACATATACAAGACTGCAGTGGCGCTTCGCGCCATGCACGTTGGTCCTTGAAGTTTGGTATGCAGGCGGAAAAGCAGGAAAGCCAAGCTGACAATTTAGCGTTCACTCCTTATTGTTTTTTCCATCATGGCCGCTATACTAATGTTATTCGCTATACTTCCTTCATGCTTCTTTTTTCGTCATTTTCGCCATACCCTGCGCATTCTCCCCATCCTCCTCAGCTCTTTTTGCGGAGGCTCCTCCTTGGAGAGCCCCTGGGGGCCTCACAAAAGTTAGTTCGGGCTTTCTTAAGGCCTTCTGGAGGCCTCCTGGGCGTGTTCTGGGGGCCTCTGGGGGCTTCCTCGGGCCACCATGCCTCCAACCGCGGACTCCCTGAACGACCGGGTCACGATTTGGAATGCTTCGGAAGGTGCCTTGGGGCCATCTTGGGCTGCCATGGGGCTCTCTGAGGGCCATCTTGGACCCCTGTTGTGCCGTTTTGGGGCTCTCTTGGACTGCCTGGAAGCCCTTTGGAATGGTTATGAGGCGATTTTGGAGCCTCCCAGGCGGCTTCGGACGCCCAGAAGAACTCCGTCTTGGGGCGTCGAGAAGCCGAAAAGAGCCCCAAAATTCACCCAAAACCAATAGAAAATCAATGATTTTTGCCTCTTGGGGCCTTCTGGGGAGTGCTCTTGGAGGCCTCTTGGGACGTTTCGGGACGATCTTTGGAGGTATGACGGCTTCTTGGGGGTCGTCTTGAGGTCACGTCGGTCACTCTTGGAGCGCTCTTGTGCTGTCTTGGGGGTCTCTGGGACGTCTCCGATGACCCTCCGTGCTGGGAAGGCCTGGCAAAACGCCCTGCGAGGCCTGGGGGGCCGCTTCGAGGCCCGTCCGGAGGGTCCCGAAGCCCCAGATCCCGGGAGTCCGGTTTTGGGGGGGGGGGGGGGGGGCGTTTTTTCCCCCGCCCAGGCTTGCAAAAATATAGGAAGAGGTATATATATATATATATATATATATATATATATATGTTTATAGATGTGTATGTATGTATGTATGTATGTATGTATGTATGTATATATATATATATATATATAGATATCAGGCATATCCAATACAAGTTGAATCACAATTTATTCCATGATCGTATAGACTGTGAGCGGGCTCCCTGGAGTACTCTGACGTGTAGAGGCTTGTGGTCGGGAGCGAGCCCCGGCCCGACACATGTGCTGCAAAAGGAACCAGATCCACGGACCTAATCTCTTTGTCTTCACGATAAATTTGGCGAACGCAGTTTACGAGACCCCGAACGATCGCGACGACAGTATCGGCGAACCCGCACCTCCTTTCCTCACTCTCCCCCTCCCTCCTCCTCCATCCCTCCGTCCCTCCTCTCTGCCCTCCCCCTCCTCCCTCCCCCCCTCCCTCCCTGCCCTGCCCTCCCCTCCCCTCCTCTCCCTCCTCCCTCCCTCTCTCCCTTGCGCCCGCGCACCTGATCCTCTCCGACGTCCTTCAGGGGCGTGAGACCGGCCAGCACCTGCGAGCGCGCTGGCTGCGGCCTCTCCTCGATCCCCCCCCTCCTTACTTCCCCCTCTCCATCCCAGATCTCTTACGACATGACTTTTCAATTCGAGCGTTTATCCTCGATTTCGGCCCCCAGATATTTTCTCAAAAAATGGCCGATGTCCCGCGTGTTCAAGGTTGGAGAAGCAGCGCGCTATCGGCCTGCTTGAATCGAACCGGCCTCTTCCATGAAGACAAATGAGTGATGATGATGAGGAGGAGGAGGAGAAGGACGAGGATGTGGAGGAGGAGTCCCCTCCTCCGCGAGTAGATGGCGCTCTCTCGCAACGACAACCTACACACCCTCCCCTCCCACTTCCCCTCCGCTTCCTCCTTCTGGGGAAGGAGACAGACAGGGGGAGAATGAGGAAACGGAGAAGTGAGGAAGAGGGGAGGGGACGATCAGGAGGAACAACGAGGAGGAAGAAACGCACTGCCCTTTCAAGACGCCCGCCCCTGGATGGACATAGACGGAGCCCCGCCTGCTCCAGCGGCTGGTCGAAGCAGGCAACGAGGCGCACGTGGGCCTCGTAGGACGCGTCGACGAAGTTCGTAAAGCGGCGGGCCTCCCAACGGTGACCCCGACCGTGGGGATGTTCAGCTGGCTGGCGGCGCCCACAAGTGGGTGGCGCGAGGGGGGTGGGCTTCCAAGAACGCGGCGGAGCTTCTGACTAGGCAAGGGGTCTGCTTTCAAAGCCGCCCACCTTCTCATGAACCTCATTCTGAGCCTCCGGGGCCTTCAAGAATGCCCCTGACTCCTTAGAAACCCATTGCCTCATGCCATCCCCTTGTCTTCGCGGCCAAGCTTGGTCATCCAACTTCGCGCTCTGCGCTTTGCGAGGCGCGATCATCTTCGCGCCCTCGCGCGCCCCGCGTGGAGAACGGGCGACCCGCTGGCCTAAGTGGACCGCGAACCACCGTCATCTTTGCGTCTACCTGTGGGTGACCCCGCCCACCGACTGGGGCTGGTCGACGCGACGCGCTTGCATGTCGTGATCGGGTGCGCGGCGTGCTGATGCCCTGCTCGCCCTCGTTGCGTGCACACTGGCCCGTCCTTGCACACAACGCAGTCGCAGAATCCACTGGCTCTTTAGAGGGCATTCGCTGACCAGGGTGCCTCAAGGATGCACGCCGTGTGGCCTCCTCCGCATGCGGGTGCACAAACGCCCAACGCGCGCCGGTACGGCGTCCACGCTGTAACTCTTGACCAACATAGTTTTGTTGGCTAAGACAGAACAAGAAGGCCGGGGTGCAACTTACCTTTGGCAAAGTATATTGTCCTCATTGGCTCCCCCCCGACTGTATGTGTTGCCAAGCTCCCCTTGGCGATGGGCTCGACCTGGATCCAGCTCAACTGCATCCTAACGTGTCTCGACTCAGCCCGCATTGCTGGCTCAGCTTGGCGTGGGCTGGCCGCGCGATGCTTCACTCAGCACGGGCGCCACTTCCCTGCCAACATAGTTGCTGAGCCCATCTCGGCCTACCCGCTGTAATTCCAATGATTTGCTCGCAGAGAATACTCATGTTATTTTACGCGTACGCGGCGGCGCAATGCTCTTCTGGCCATCCCCTTCTACGGCGATCCGCAAATGCACGGGAATCTAACCAAGACTCCAAAGGCAAGCAGCTCCTCGTTGTGCGAGTCCGCACTCAGCACGGGAATGCCCCTGATGATGACGGTGTGGTAGCGGCGGCACAGCGCGTGGTAGTCCTGAGAACTCTTGGATCGCAAATGAAGAAACCTTCACATGACCACTACTAATGTACTGATGTGTGAGATACGTCAATAGACAAACAACTACAGAAATCCGCCGGCCCCTTGTGGGGCCACCAGGCTGTAGGCCAAAGTGCGCTGCTCCCTGAACCAGTTGCAGTTTCAAGTCTCCAATGGTACACTTCTGCTGTCTCCTTCCTACTGTGAATCGTTGAAGTCCGCGCAAGGGGGGGGAGCCCCACACCGTCCAATTTACCACGCCTGGGTCGCGTTCTCTGAATTCATGGGGGGGCATGGGGCACATAACAATACTTGAGATTCGCGTCCCCGAGGCCAAAACCTTTTAAATTATACAATATTCGTGCCCCCGAGACCACAAGCCATCGTAACTTATAATTTTTTGGCGTCCCCGAGGCAGCACACTCTTTTAGATTACGCAATATTCGCGACCCGGAGGCAACAAACCCAAGTACATTACGCAATCTTCGCGTCACCGAAGCCATAAACCTTTGCAAATTACGCCGTATTCGCATTGCCCAGGCCCAGAGTGCTCCAAGGCGCCCGAAGATGGTTCCAAGACGGTCTAAGAGGGCCCAAAGAGGCCCCGAGAGCGCTCCAAGAGGTCTCCCGAGAGAGCCCCAAGAGGCCAACATCGTATATTTCACGAAGGTTTTTGAAGAATCGACGCTCCAAGACGGCTCCAGAAGCTCCCAATACCGCCCCAAGACAGCCCAAGACGCCTCCAAGAAGGCTCCAAGACGGCCCAAGTGGGCTCCAAGGTGGCCCAAGAAGCGCTCAAGACGGCCCAACAGGCCCAAAGACGGCCCCAAGAGGGGCCCAAGCAGGGGACCACGAACCGAACACTCGATAGCCTCGAGAAGTCCCCAGGAGGCCCAAGAGGCCGCCAAGAGGTCCCAAGAGGCGCCCAATATACGCGCCCAAGAGGCCTCCAAGAGGCCCCAAAGATAACCCACGATGCCCCAAGAGGCCCCCAAGAGGCGTCCAAACCGCCTCCAAGAGGCCCCCGAAAAAGCTCCCCACGACACCCCAACACATGTAAAAGAGGCCTCGGACCCACAACCCAGACACGGTGGCGGGATGGGTCGAAGGCCACTCAGATAACGCCAACGTCTCAAAATGCGCTGATGATTTTCTATCCGCCCCCGCATGATGTTCCCGGATGCGCCACGGCAGCGCAGAGACGGACGCACCGACGCGATTCTGATATGTCCCATTCGGATAGAGAGAGGGCCGGCGGCAGGGGGCGAAGCCTGTACGGATCTCAACTTTCGTTGGGATTCCGCGCGAAGATCTTGTGTCGGTGGTGGCGCCGCCCGAGGCGACGCCAGGGGTGTGGGGAAATGAGGACCCCGGGCCAACCCACGAAGTCCGAGCGGACTTCCGGGAAACTATGCTTATGTAGGCGGCCGGTCTTCTACGTAGCTCGAAGTTCCAATCTGCGTGCCCCTCCACACGCCAGCGCAGGGTCCAAAGCTAGCTGACCCGACCCAGACGAGAGAGTCGCAACACGCTCGCGAGACATGGGGAGGCCATCACGACGCTGCTGCGCACTTGAAAAATCTCGGCACAATCTCTCTGTGGGTCTTACATAATCAAAGACCAATCACCATCGATTCAGGAGATCGAAATGACTACCGCCCCCAGGACCCTCCCCTCGGAACTCTTCCCGGACGCCCCCCGGGACCGCTCCAGGTAATCCCCCAGAGGAGAAGAAAGAGGACCGGAAGAATCGAGGAGGGAGGAGGCCACAGAGCCGCGAAGATCATTGAATCTGGAGCCCCCCAAATCGGCGGCACTGGCCAGAGGCCACTACAATATCGGCACAACCTCTGTGGGTCTTACATATCAAGGACGAATCACCATCGATTTCAGAAGATCGAAACGGCTTGGAATGTGCGTCGGATCGGGCCGTATGGCCACGGAGTCGAGATCGAATCGGATCGGCTACGCCAAGCTGCGCACCAAGGCCACGCAAACACCAGGCCGCATCGGATCGTTATAATATCGGAAACGAGGCGGATCGAGTCGGAGATCTCGGGTGGCTTTCACAGGCCAAGAGACCATGCCACATTTAAGTGGCAACGTCTGCACGGTCAAAATAAACGTGCATGCGTCCACACGGAGAACGGTATTCAAGGACACTGGCCGTGATGAGCGGCACAACGAGCCCTCTACATGACAAATCAAAGTCCAATGACCGCACCATCTGAGGGGAGCTGAAAGGGTGCTTGCCTCCAGAGGAGGGGATCATCGCCCTGGAATCGAACCGATTGATCGGCCGTAGACCCGCGACAACAATGTCGCACGTTCTTTGGCAGGGTGTGGCGCCCCAAACCTCGTCCAGCTACGAATAGGCGACTCGTGGTCGACGCTTCCTTGTTGGAGTCAAATCCCCCAATTCGCCGCCCCTGGCCACCTGTCCCGCGGCGCAGAGAGTTGACCCGGGCCGCGGTGCACAGAACTCGGGGCAGACGGAAGCAATGCAATCATTAAGGGGGAGGGGGCATCCCCAGCTGCTGATTTCTCTGGCGTCTCCTGGCGCTGGAGGCGCCAATGCCTCGAGCAACGCGCTGGGCGGCGGGGCCGAAACAAGCCGCCTGCAGCAGAGCTCCCAAGCCCTATCTTCGTCCGACCCTGGGAGCGCGGCACAAGCGGCGCGGGTGCCGCGCCGTGCGCCGTGCCCGGGCACCAGGAGGAGGAGGAGGAGGAGGAGGAGGAGGAGGAGGAGGAGGAGGAGGAGGAGGAGGAGGAGGAGGAGGAGGAGGAGGGGGAGGGGAGGAGGAGGGGGAGGAGGAGGGGAGGAGGATGAGGATGAGGATGAGGATGAGGATGAGGATGAGGATGATGATGATGATGATGACGATGATGATGATGATGATGATGATGATGATGATGATGATGATGATGATGAGGAGGAGGAGGAGGAGGAGGAGGAGGAGGAGGAGGAGGAACCCCTGGCCGCGTGAACAACGGGGCGGCGCGAGGGGGGCGGCCTCTCAAGAGCGCGGGGGCGCTTCTCGCCGGGGCCTTCTCGAGAGAGCCCCGAGGGGCCTCCGAGAATGCTGCCTGGAAGCCCCGAGGGCTCCCGAGAGGCCTGCTGCCCTCTCAGAAGCCTTCCAGGCTTCTCAGAAGCACGCCTCGTCGCGCCGCCCCCCGGCGTCCGATGACATGTCTTTTCCAAGGCGCGGCCCCAAGGGTCCCGACCCCTCGCCGGGGCCAGATTGATGGTCTCAGGGCCCGACATCGGGAATTGCACAGGCACATCAGCGGAGATCTGGGCCCCTGTGCGCGCGCCGCCAAAAACGCTGTACGTACATGCGACCTCTGGAGGCGGCGCCCCGGAGGCCGCGCGGTGCCCATGGCAGCACGGGCGCGCCGCCCGCGAGCCACGCCGTGCGCCCCGCCGTGGGCCTCGGCGGCGCCGCAGGCGCACCGCCTCGCTGGCGGGCCGAGCCCCGCGCCTCGGCAGCGCGCGGGCGGCACGGCGCGCGCCGCGCAAGCAGCAGCAGCAGCGGCAGCAGCAGCGGCAGCAGCAGCGGCAGCAGCAGCAGCAGCAGCAGCAGCAGCAGCAGCAGCAGCAGCAGGTATGCGAGCATTGCCCTTGCGCGCACGTAGCCAGCGGGGTGGAGCAACGCCCGTGGTGTAAGCTGGAGGGCTCCCAGCCTCGTCAGGACAGTGCATTGTTCTGTTGTTGACGAAGCAGCAGCAGCAGCAGCAGCAGCAGCAGCAGCAGCAGCAGCAGCAGCAGCAGCAGCAGCAGCAGCAGCAGCAGCAGCAGCAGCAGCAGCAGCAGTAGCAGCAGCAGCAGCAGCAGCGGAACCGGCAGCAGCAGCAGCAGCAGCAGCAGCAGCAGCAGCAGCAGCAACAGCAGCGGTATCAGCGGCAGCAGTCGGCGTTGCCAGAAGCGGTCCTGGTCCAAGGTGCCCCCCAGCCTTTCGCTTCATCCTGGCTGGGAAGGCGTGGGCCACCCTGGCCCAGAAGCACTGCTGGCAAGAACCGAAGCAGAGGTGCGGGCGGGCCGCCCCGTGCCGGTACCGCTGGCGGCGTGCGCCGCGCAGCCAGCGCGGAGGCCCGCTGCCCCGCCGGCGCACCCGCCGCGCAGCAGGCAGCTACCGGCCAGCGGCCGGCAGGCAGGCCAGCGCCCAGGACCCGCAGTGCTTCACCCAGGAGCTGCTGCCGTCCTCGGGGGGGGACCCTCGCAATGCCCGCCAAGGAGCACCGTTCAAGATCCCCGTCCCCACTGCCATGGCCTCGGCCCCACTGGCCGACTGACCCCCTAGGTGGGAGTGTATGCTGCTTCCTTGGGCTTCGCGGGGCCCATCCCCACCTGGGCGCCTGGACTGTTGCGACTGAGATACCGTGGCCCCATGGGGATGCGAAATGGTTAGACGATGCTGCACCAACGCCAGCCGCCCCTTTCACTGGACCTCCATCTTCCGAGCCTTCTGCGAGGCAGGTGCGGGGGCAGCGCGGCGGCGGCGGAGTGGCCGCCGCTGTCGCTCAGTGGCAGCGGACGCCGCTGCGCGGGCATCTGCCGCGCGGAGGGCGAGGAAGGTGGAGATCGAAAGCTCTTCTTCCCCCCTGGCACTCCCTCGTCCCCCACCGGGAAGGAGGGGGGCCGCCCTCTGGCTTCCGCAAGGCCACCTTCTCGCTCCAGCTTCATATCAAGTGGCGGCCGTCTCAGGGGTGAACGCGCGCATCTCTTGAATACTCCTCAGAGCTAGGGAGGAGCGGTAGGGGGGGGGGTGGAAGCTCGTGGGGCTACAGACATGTAGATACACATTCCCCGAGAAATGCTTGCCCTTCGGGCTTCTTGCTTGTATGCGAAGGTGTTGGACCTGGTTGCTGAGTGTCCGCACGGGAGCCCCGTGCGAGGTGGCTGGTTGTCGGATTTTCGTCCGCTGGGCTCCCGTTGGCGCCTCGTCGCCGCGCGCTACATCACGCAATTTGCACCACATCGATTTCTTCACACTAATTGACCCTATTGGCTCAATTCAAATAACGTGCACTACATAGCTTACACAGCAAACTTAGCTTGCACCGCACAGCCTTCGCAGGCAGCGCGCACTGGAGGATGCACAAACAAGATCGTTTGCCCCTGGTACAAAGCACGGATTAGCAAGCGCAGCGCTCATTCATCACTGCGCCGCACTGCGCGGGTTTGCGGGCGGCCGCTTGGAAGCTACGCGTCGTTTACAGTGTTGGTCATCATCCACGGCGCGGTCCAATGCCGCCATCCCCTCACGCGTGATTGAACACATAATCCCACCAGCCCTTTGGGCGTGAGTGGTTTAGAGAGCCCGCTCTGTTCTCAACCCCTTTCTTCCCCTTCGGGGAAGGGTTTACCCCTCCCCCTACCCCCTCCCCCTGGGCCTGGAGAGGTTCCTCCGCGGGTCGTCAGGGGGGTCATTTTCGACGCCTGGGAGGGCTAAAAAACGACACCCCTCACGAGGATTCTGGCCCCGACGGGGGGAGTCAGAAAAAATGCTCCCCTCTTCTTTGAAGCCAAAATCATTGATTTTACTACGGTTTTGGCCCCATTTTGGCCTTCTGAGGGGGCAGCGCTCATTACAGCTCCCCTCTTCTTTCAAGCCAGAATCATTGATTTTACGAAGGTTTTGGCCCCATTTTGCGCTTCTGAGGGGGCAGCGCTACTTAAAGCTCCCCTCTTCTTTGATCGATTTCCTCCAAGATGGCCCCAAGAAGCGCCCAGGAGGCACCAAGAGGCCCCAAGATGGCCCCAAGAGGCCCCCAGGAGGCCCCCAAGAGGCCTCCAAGAAGCCCCCAAGATGCCCCCAAGAGGCCCCCAAGAGGCCCCAAGAGGCTCCCCCGAAGCACCCAAGACGCTCCTGGAAGCCCCTGGGGCCGCCAAGAGGCCCCCAAGACGCCCCAAACGGCCTCCAAGAGGCTCCCAAGAGGTCCGAAGAGGCTCCCCCAAGGCACCCAAGACGCTCCTAGCAGCCCCTGGGGCCGCCAAGAGGCCCCCAAGACGCCCCCAAAGGGGACGAGGTGCCCGAACGCCTCACGCCACGAGGAGCCCGAACGACTCACACCAGGACGAGGGGCCCGAACGACTCACACCACGAAGAGCCCGAACGACTCACACCAGAAGGAGGGGCCCGAACGACTCACACCAGGACGAGGCGCCCGAACGACTCACACCACGAGGAGCCCGAACGACTCACACCACGACGAGGGCCCCGAACGACTCACACCACGAGGAGCCCGAACGAGTCACACCAGGAGGAGGGCCCGAACGACTCACACCAGGACGAGGGGCCCGAACAACTCACACCACGAGAAGCCCGAACGACTCACACCAGGACGAAGAGCCCGAACGACTCACACCACGAAGAGCCCGAACGACTCACACCAGGAAGAAGGGCCCGAACGACTCACACCAGGACGAGAAACCCCAAACGACTCAAACCACGAGGAGCGCTTTCTCTCCCTCCTCCTCCGCCTCGTCCTTCTCCCGCTCCCACCACAAGGAGGATGTACAAGGAGGCGGGAGGAAGGAGGAACAGGGGAGATATGCGGGGGCAGGCGGAAACACACCTGAAAAACACGACTGTCGGCATGCTTCGCAAGAGTTGCTGTTTTGAGATGGGCTGGTGGGGATACGCGAAGCGTAAAGAATTTCGAGCCCCGCGGGGTCAATTCACCAGACATCGGAGAGGGGGGGCAGGGGCTGAAGGTCATTCGTTAAGCACAGGCGGGCATTGACGATGAACGCCTGTCCTGGCGCAACTCCCGGGGCAATGGCCAGGTGCGCCATGCCCCGGAGCCGGGGTGGAAGGCCTGGACGTGGTCGCGGCCCACGCAAACAACGGAGGCACCGATGGGGTAAATCTCGCCGTTGTGCTCGTACGAGTCCGCGAGCGGCATCCTCCCCTCGTCGTGGCCGTCGTCGTCATCGTCGTGGTGGCCGTCGTCGCTGTCCTTGCCCTTGTACCCCTTCCTCCTCCCCTCCATTCTCCTCCCCTCCCTGTCCCACTTCCCCCATTCCTCTGCTCCCCTCCGCTCTTCCCTCCTCTTCCTACTCCCCCCTGCCACCAGGGGGGAAGAGGAAGAGGGGACCTCAGGAGGACTCTGGGGATTTCCAGAGTCCACACCTCTCCAAACAAAAACAATGGCCGAGACCTTCAGGAACACGCACCAGGCTCTAGAGACGTCCGAAAAGACGGCGGAGAAGGAAGGAGGATGAGGATGAGGAGGAGGAGGAGGAGGAGGAGGAGGAGGAGGAGGAGGAGGAGGAGGGAGGAGGAGGAGGCGGAGGAGAAGGAGGCGGAGGAGAAGGAGGAGGACGAGGAGGAGCAGGAGGAGGAGAAGGAGGGGGCCGATAGCCGTTTGCCCACTCGGGGTGGGGCGGACGCCGCCCCACGCGTGGGCGGGCGGCAGCGCGGCGGCCGCGATAGGGGCTGCAGCGAGGGGGAGGACACCCCCACACCCCTTGCAGCGGCGGCAGCCCCTGGCGGCAGCCCGCGGCGGGCCAGACTGCGCGCGAGGTCGCGCGCGGTGGGCCGCCCGCCAGGAGGAGCAGGCCAGACGGCCAAACGCCCTGAGGGCGCTGCACATCGCCGTCGCCGTCGACAGCGAGCCCAGGCGAGGGTTCTTCTCAGAGTCACGAAGGCGCAGAAGGTTCTGGCGGCGCACCACTCCAGCATGGCGAAGCCAGGCAAATGGACGTGTATCGATTGCGGCCAGAGCAACGAACCAGCTTCATGGCAATGCGTGAAGAAGAGCTGCAACAACACGTGGAGGAAGCAAATGCAGAAGCAGGCGGATCAACGTCGACGTGATCGAGATAGTGCTACATTCAAGAATGAGACTGCTAAAGTTCTGGAGGAGACGATGATGAGCACGAGCAAGTACGCCATGAATCACTCCATTTACAGCCCACCGCCGAAGTCCGACACAGCCAAGTATCGGAAGTCTTTGGAGGAAAGAATGCATAGAACGGCAGAGGTCATTGTACACGGGCGGCGGCTGGGAACATGTGTGATTACCCAAGAGAAGGAGTTGAGTGTCATGAAGTGGATGATGTGGCAGCTCAAGCCATGTGCTATTCAACGGCGGGAAGCGAAGGATAATATTACGAAGACGGAGGAGAAGCTGCACAAGATCGAGGGCAAGATATCGGCATTGAAGCAGGCGGCTCTCTATGAGGAGACGATGTTGGACTACTATCATGATTTATTTCGAGAAGCAGCTGAAGGAGAGGCAGACACAGCAGAACTATCAAGTACGGAGGTTGATATTGGTCACGATAGGAGGGTGGCTCTGCAGAAGGATCTTCGAGCAGACGGCGCAGAGCAACCCCCACCACCACCACCTCCGCCGCCACCGCCGCCTTTTCCTCCGAGTCGAGACCCAACCCCAATCGTGGACGGCAAACACTTGCGTTGTCAGGCCTCGTTGAGACAGCCGCAGGGGCAAGTCTCTAGAGGTCAAGGCACAGTACAGCAGTTGGGAGTGCAGAATCCAGCTCAGGACCATGCTCGGCGGCTTTCAGCCTCACCAGCCAGAACAGATCCATACGGTGGCACGAGTGCATATATACCGACAGGAGGTGCGCCAGGGAGTTCGACAGGCAGATCATCTTTCTTGCCGCGGGCACCGGTGCCCTCACTCAGCTCACAGCAGACACCTCAGCCGCTACCAGTTGGCCGACAGGTGCGTCATAAAGAGTCTTCACAAGGTCGGCAAGATACTCCTGTGGTCATGTCAATACCAGGGCAGATGCAGATCCCAGCTACACAGGCGCCGACGATGGCAGCTCCACAGATACCGCTCTCGCAGGTGACGCCGCAGCCACCCCTCAGGGATGCAGACAATCACATGACGGTCGACAGCAGCAGCTCCGTGGCAGCAACATCGGCAGTCAAATCGGTTCCAAGGACAGAATTACTCACGAAGGAGCAGGCCAAGGTCTACGAGAGTGAATGCAAGGCAGCGAGACACAATGAATGGTTGGAACAGCAGAAGACAGCGGCAGCGGCGCATCAGCATAACTTAATGTTACAGCAGCAGAACCGGCAGTTGCAGGTCCAGATTGAGTGCGGGCGCCGTGAGCACAGTGGAGAGCAACAGGAATTAGTACATCAGAGGCAGCAACTGGCGAGTCGCGAAATGGAAGTGCAGCGTTTCGGTCAGGAGGAGATGGCCAAGATCACGATGATCATGCAGCAGCTCCAGCGTCGGTCAGAGGAGGTTGACGAGCAGCGCCAGGCGTTCATGGAGATGGACAAAGCCAAGCATCGGAAGGATACCGAGGACATGGAGCAATGGAAGCGCAGCCAGCTGGCAAGAGTGGCCTGTGAGCTCAAGGAGGTTCAGGAGATGAAGGCTGAGAACGACGAGCGGTACCAGAAGGCGTGGCTTGAATTAGCGGAGCAGCGTCAGCACGATGAAGAACGACAACAGCAGCTCGTTGAGGCAATCCGATCAGCAGAAGCTCGCACGCAGCATTATGAAGGTGAAATTGGACGGCTTCGTACTCAAAAAGGAAAAGGATTTATGACCCCGCGATCGAACCGAACGAATCCATACGGTAAGACGGGAGTATCTAGAGTTCAGTTTGGCAGCAGTGTAGAGAATGAGACGGAGAAGTTTGAAGCCGAACTGGTCGAGCAAAAGAAGCAGGCTGAGCGCGACAGCGAGATGTACATTGACTACGAGTGCCAGAGGTACATGGCGGGCTCTCCAATATGCTCCTCACTCTACTCTTCACCACCTTCTACTATGACTCGGGCAGTGGATGCTGCGCTTGCCGACGAGGACGCTGCTAGACTGCAGGATGAAGCTGATTTTCAAGAATGGCTACGTGCAGAACGGCAGGTCTATGCATTTGAAGAGGTACGTGTATCAGCGATTCGAAATGCAGAATACAAGGAGGCAGAGCAACGTGAGGCACAGCAACGAACTGAACATCGACAGGAAGTTCAAGTTGACTCTGTACACTCTTCACCGACGGCGGTACCTGATCTATCAGCTGAAGTTTCTCACGACGTGCCTCCAAATGGGTACTCCACCACGATGGACTCCGCAGATGCAGTTTCGGTAGAAGATATCATTGACGCAGCCCAAAGGTACGATCGTGAAGTAGCATCTGAGCTTGAGGCCATTCAAGAGGAGGAAATCTGCCTGCTGATGCATGACAGGAAGGTAGCCAGAGAAGAACAAGAGGAACAATACCAGGAGGAGTTAGTCAAGTACGGACTCGAGGTTGTACAGCAACTTGCAGAAGAGGTTGTCCACGGAGATGATCATCACGACTGTGAACGTCGTGATGTTGCAGATGATGACGATGAGGTACCTTCCGACGTGGCGCAGCATGCATTTCGTTCAGGAGAAGAGGACACGGACAGGAGCACGGTGCACAAAAGGCCAGCTCGGAAGTATGGGAGACAATTATTGTACCCGCGTGTTCCGCCTCTTACTGAAGATAGTCGCACACGTGATGAGAAGACGAGAGGTGGGGTCGCTACTACGAGTGGTGAATGGTCGTCAAGCCAGGCTATCGAGCATACGGGAGCTGACGACATACAGCGTTCTCGCGTACCTCTTGATTCACGTCATCAGCAACCCGCGGACGTTCCTCCTGGACACCGCGGAGATGAGCCAGGCGCGTCCCAGCGCCCTTGAGCGCGTGGGAAGGGTCTCAGCCAGCGTCGGGGGCTGGGACCTCAGCGGAGACTATGGCCCACGCTTTACGGGTTCCCAGTCTTGGACTGAGTGGGCTGGGGACTGCCGTCAGAGTAGATGCTCGATTTCTAAGTGACTTTGCGGACTCGTCCGCACGCATACCTCAGCAAAGGTTGGGAAGCGGAGATGCTCCAGTGGTTTGCGGCAATCATGACGTACAGCTCATTGAAGACACTCCGAGAGCCGACGAAAGGCTCGGGCACCTTGGCGCCCAGGTTTCACCTCAGTATAATTGCTATGGACGATTTTGCTCGCTGGAGACGCCCGAGCCACTACACTTGGTGTTTCAACGGCTTCGATGGCACATTCAGTTGCAGCGGAATCTTGCTGGCATGTCGCTCCACGAGCATAGCATGCTGGCCATGTCCCTTTCGCAGAGATTGGAGAATGCAGTGTGCAAGGTCTTCATCTTCTGCGACGGCTCCTATCACGACAGCGAGCCTACGAGTTCAGCTTGGGCTTGCACATTGCTGGCAACGGACGGCGATTGTTTCAAGTTCCTGGGCTACTTCAGCGCCTACGTGGTGGACAGCATCAACGCGGAGCTGTCCGACCATCAGATCAACAGTGTGACCACCGAGACGGCAGGCATTTTGTGGGCGCTACTATATGCCTTGCAGCTCGAGGCGCACATCGAGGTGGAGGTGGTATGTGACTGCCAACCCGCGATGTGGCGCGTTTCGTCAGGGGTGGCCCAGGAAGAGCCCTTCTCTCGACTTGGGAGCCACGCCCTTGACGCTGCCCGACGTACCAGGAGGATCACCTTGTCTCACACAGCTGGTCATGACGGGCACCCCTGGAACGAGATGTCGGACGTAGTTGCGAAGCATGCGAAGGATCATCCACCTCCACCTCTTCCACAGCAACTGGTGGGACAGCTCAAACCTGCATTGAACTGGGGCTGGGCTATGTTGAGAGACAGAGAGGACATGGACAGTGCGGCCTACCCCAAGTTCACGGAGCATGGCTTCGCATATCAGGCAATACGACAGCAAGCCATACTTCAGCCGACTGCATCACCCATCGTGACAGCCACGAAGGCTATACCGTTCAACTTAAATCTCCGAGTGATAACGTTTAACACACAGCGAGCCAACATGGGGGAGCCGCAGGCAGGGCACTTTCACAGAGGACAGCAGATACGACTGCAGTTTCAACAACTGGGCGCCCACCTCGTTGGCT